TGTCTGGTGACGTTGTGCCAACTATAACCCGACACACAACTTTTGCTGCATCCGTACAAATATACAGTAGGTGACGACTGACGAGTACGTTCGGCACATCGCCTAGAGTGGGGGTAGTGACGCGGCCAGCATTTGGGGTAGACATTAGAAACGACAAGGAACGCAAAATTACCGACACAGCATTTAGGCAGGCTCCTTCCTGAGAAGGCGGTTTGTAACTGTTGCACTGTAACAACGTAAGATGCCACCATGAGGTTCTTCCGTATACTGGCATGGAAACGCAATGAACACCGATCCGTGTCACAAATACTGTCAGTCATACAGATGAAAGCCGATAGCATCACACTGCATGAGGAACCGTCAAGTTTACACTCGGGGTTGGGATGTTAAAAGCGGGCGTCAGAAGCTCAGCATGGAAAGTGGAAAGTCGGTAAGGGAATTAGGCGACTGATATTGCACTGTGAGTACTCTGACGGCAAGAGCTGAGGGAGAAAGCCGTGTTTGTGGCAGCGTTTCAACTACTCAAATCCACAACTTCCCACAGCCCATCCCTGCACGGCAGTCCCGTCCCGAATGGAGAACAACCACTGCAAGATTTGTAGAGGTACAGTTTGTTCCAAGGCACGAAACAAGGTGAAGAGCCAACTGGCACCCACGCCCCCTGTCATGGCTGACACTATAGGTTTCAGAACCTCTATCCTCCAGGCTCGGGGATCAATCGCCGCACACTTTACCGGTCTCCTCAGTCACAAGAGCCTGATCCTATGTTCACAGTGTCGTATGAAAGGCAACAGGCCCAAGACCGGGAAACCATACGGGCAATGCTCACCGGGAGGACTTTACCTGTTGCCCAACACGCCCGGAGTCGTGGTGGTGCAGCGCCAACTGGGTCCCGGGCATCGATGACACACTCATACCAGCTGGCCGCTGCCACGGAAGGATGTCCAACTGGCCTGATGGCCGTCCCCGCTTCTCGGGGGCCTGTACCATCCCACCTCCCCTGGTCCCTAGGACGCACCCGCAAGCCCCATCCATCCTCCGCTCGCGCTCAACCGGAAGCACCTACTACACACGCTACTGGGGTATTATCCAACCGAAAAGTACGCCTACTATTCCCCCCCCCCCTTTTTTTTTTTTCCACTTCATTGACTTTCTATTCCAGGGAGCAACAAAGATGACAAGCGATGATATTGGTGTCATCCTGGTCACGAAAACATCGATGCCAGCTATCTCTGAGTCTACAGCACCCGTATACTGGGATATGAACCTCTTTTCATCGCTGCTCAATCCTCAACCATCTCCCAGCCTTTACTCAATCCACTAGAAGTGGCGTCATTTTTCACTGTATTTTTACCATAAAAAGATTTATTAGTTAAAAATGGCCACGTTTTTTAACCAATCAAAAACATGGAAATGAGGTAAATTTCCAGATGCAAATTAATTGTTCTCATTTCACGAGACTAATATAGGCTTTAGCTGAACTTGGGCTCGGCACCACTCTTTGCCGCTCCCCCTCGGCTCTTTTAATTTTACGCGTGGTTCACCTGATAGCAGCCCGAAGCAAAGCTTGGGCGAGCTTGAGTGGCTTGATTGCAAGCATGCAGCGTCAATGGTGACGGCTACCTAAACAGCAGGTGGAAACGAGGAGGATGGGGAAATCTTGACGCAAGTCTGGGAGAAGATATAGTTGATATAGTTGCAACGGTCGTTGCATTTTTCCTAGCAGCGCACATTGTGGGTAAGTTGGGTGAGAAGCGAGCGATGCGGACTTGGAACTCTATGCCAACGATCTGATTGTTGAATCGTTCAGGCCTGCGGAAAAGCAATAGAAGACTAAACACATGCGCAAAGCATAAGAAAAAAAGGAAACGTACACGTACTGTACGAGGACAACCCTAGTTCAAGTGGGGTTGCAAGCCCTAGGTAATGACGCAGAGGGCCTGGGACAAAGATGCGAGAGGGGAGTCTCTTCGTCTGGATTGAATTAAGAAGAATGTATGGACTCCGCACCGAGTGCACGTAACAGCCGAAGCCGCACATGTAACCCGATGGGACGGCGGCGTTGTGGGGCATCATGTTCAATTACATTACAGCGAAGTGCAAAAAAATCTGCCGGTTTCGATTTTGACGGAAGCGATCTGGGGTGGAGTCACCCGCTACCAAAATCAGGATTTGAATGGAAACCCCAATGGCACCGTAGAACTCCCCCTGAATGTGGTGCTTAAGCGCCCAAACTCATTGCCCTTGCATCAACAAACTGTTAACTCTGTCTAGCTGACACGGGAAAACATCTTGAGCGCAGCGCAAAAGACATCTTGACCCAACAAGAGATTGCTGAGGCCTCGGGAGTGTCCGAACGTACTGTTCGGAAGTTGCTCGCTGCTCCGTCGTCCAGTATAGGCGTGCGGCTGATTTGGTGCCTAGTCCCCCTCACCTGTTCTTCCGCACCATTTCCTTGTGTATTATTAGCTGATTTCTTACCTCGTAAGTGGTCCTTGGGCCTCGTATCCATCAATAATGCTGGCAATGCGATTATGAGGGTCAATACAACACCCAATGTTTCTGGGAATCGTAACTCTGTCCGAGTCCAAACTAGATCCAGAGGCCAGCAGCTGAGCGTGATGAACAGCTCCGAGCAGATTTCAGGAGGGGGACCCATCATATACACCGAGTGATCCATGATCAGGGTGGGATGCAGAAGAACTTTCACGATAACATTCTCAATATATTCCCTACCAATTCCGCTTCACACTGAGACCTAATCTGTTCCGACCAATGTAGTGGACATGGCCCAACATGGGCTGGCGCAGAATGCTGATTTGCAGGACACAAAGGGCAAGGGCGAGCCGTAACCGATAGCCCTAGCTTAGGATGGGGGAGGGGAGGATGGTGGTGAAGAAAGTGTTGAAATTCTTGTTTCTTGGTATGCTGTGGACCATCCATTGAGTCCATCGGACTGTACATCTTACACATGGGCATTTCCATGAAGGATTGCCCCAAAGCCACCTCGCGCCATTTTTCTCTTTCCTCTCCTCAGTTCACATCTTCTACATGACTAGTTCTTAATTTCAATAGAAAGAGGTATCATTCACCCAAAATTTGTTGGATTTGTTAGATTAAGTGATCCATGCCATGTGCATGGAAGGCTGAGCGACCAGTGTGCGCTGGATCAAGATCACCACCCGAACAGAGACGCAAAATAAACCAGGAGCGTGCAGGTAGTTTTCCTGTCTCGCCGAGCCACAAATCAGGAAGTGTGGAAAAATAGTATCCTGCATAGAAAGGTACCTTCTGAAAATTTGTAAGGGGTCAAGACCCCCTTCGCGCTTTTCAAGGATGACAAGACGACCCCTCAAAGAACCCATCTGCATTATGCAGGGAAAAAGAAACATGCAGGCATGGCTCATCGCCAAACCACACAGAAGAACGCCAAATGGACTTCCGAAAGCTTTGCAACGCAGAAACATCGTTGTCCACAAGTTCTCCCAAGTGCATAAGGCAGTGCCAGTGTTAACGTCGGCAGAGGCCGGCGATTGGTTACGAAATCTTAGGGTGATCGAAAGTCGCTGAACCAAAGTTGAACTCGATATTACACTAGAGGGTGTAAAGTACAAGATCTCTGCCTTTTTCTATCTACTAAGGTTCTAGCTTATATACGGTTCGACGGGATGAACCCACACTGTTTGCGCTGTCCAGCCAGCTCCCCCTCTGGGCTTACGGGTTTGAAGATTGGTGTTGCCACGATGCACCACATCATCCTGAAAAGGTAGTGGAAAGAAAGAGAAGGGTTGGGTCGGTGATGGGATGAACCCGCATTTTTTGCGCTACGTGGGCGCAGATTGGTGTTGCCACGCACCACACCACCCCCTTCAGATGTTATAGACCTAATTGGTCTAAACAGGGGCACCGTGTGAAGGTTTAGGTCCGTGCCGGGTTCTATCTTCTATATTCCACTATAGAGGCTGGGGTCCTGCCTAGTGCCGGGTGTTAGCTGCGAGAGCTGAACTCCCCCTCGACTTAAATCTGTCGTTGAGGCCCGAGAACACACTCAATAACCCCCCGACTAACGCCGCACTCGCCAACACACAGCCTCAACCTGCACAGGCCCAACCCACCATTCTGCCCCCTCGCGACACCTCCTGCGATGTCACTCTAACACAACAGTCACCTCTACTCCCCGTCTGCACCGACCGCAGCTTCCCAAGACTCCAACAGGAGCTTAATGCGGCGATAGAGACAGCTGAACTACGAAACTCCAAGGGCAGCTTCCTCCGCATCCAAGCTGTTCGCTGCCTGCCTTCTAAAGATCTAGTCATCACCTTGTTCACTAAGGAGGCTGCCTTCCGACTGCGCAAAGATACACGCTGGCTGACCTTCATGGATAATGAGGCGGCCAAGCTGACTATCAGGCGCCCTGTTTTCGCCGTAATCATCCACCGCATCCCCTGCTCTTTTGACCCCAACCAACCCAGCCTCTCATCTTGCCTGCAGAGCACTTCGACGTCCTGTCCAGAGCCACCGTTCCTCCCTCCACCACCTCTTCCATGCCCCACAGTGCCCTCACTTCTCAGAGCACTCGGAGCTAATCCACCCTCAACCACTACCACCTTGGGCCCCTCATCCTTTCACAATGCACGCAGCGTTGTTGAAAGAAGAAGCCTACTTGGAACACCTCCACCTAGCGCTCCCTCCCACGAATACATTGCTTACTCGGATGGCTCCAAAACAGAGGAAGGAGTAGGGGCCAGTGCCCACATCCCTTTCCTGCAGGAACAGAGCTCCCTGCGCCTCAGCGACCCAGAATCCCACTCGGTTTTCGAAAGCGAACTAACAGGAGTACTTCTAGCCTTACAACTAGCCAAAGGACAGCCAAGAAACTTCACATCTTCCTCGACAACCAGGCTGCAGTCCGTGCCCTAGCCTTGCCTGCGCGACGCAAATCCGGGCAACACATTCTACTCACCATACTCCGAGCATACGAAGACCTACTACCCATACACCTCCACCTCAGACTCCACTTTGAATGGATACCCGGCCATCATGACATACCGGGAAATGAAAAGGCTGATCACCTTGCCAAAGCGGCCACCAAACCCAACCCCCGCAACACAAACCCCCCTATGCCCACTTCTCTATTGATGGCCAAACAATACCTTAAAGCCCAAGGAAGTGACAAACCTCCCAATGGAACATCAGGTCACTTCCACCGCCGCATTCGCAGCAACACAGCCCCCGGCACCTTCTTGAAAGCCGCCTCCAAACTACGCCGCGGATCCATCAGCATCCTCTTCCAACTAAGAACGGGACATATAGGACTTCTGGCCTACCTGGCGTGAATGGGACCCAGTGCATCGCCCAACTGTAGCCTATGCGAGGTCCCGGAAACAGTTGAGCATTTCCTCTTCGAATGCCGTCGATATTGCCGCGAGCGCAGAGCACTGCGAATCGATATCCTGCTCGCCTCCCTCAGTGACAAGTCCATCCTCACCTTCAACCTCTCCCAACTCCTCTCCCACCCCAAAATCATCCCTCTTACCATAAGATACATCCGCGACACGGCCGCATCCGCATCCATATCCCCTACTCACCTCCTACCTCCTGACACGGCTGGCCGGACATGAACGCTTTCAGCTTCTATTCTCACTTTTCTTATTTTTCTTTGTTTATTACTTTGCAGACGTTTTGTCACCTCCTTTCGGTTTATCTCATTTTCTTCTTACTGTACAGCTCCCTCCTTAACTAATAACCTACCTCCCCTCATCACCGCTCCCACAACTCGAGCCACTACACCACGATGGGTGCCACACCCTCCTATGAGTTCCCCTGCTTCTACACCGTGCACACTCATCGACCCTATGCTACCCTAACCACACTCACAATCTCAACACACCCACCCACAAACCCTTATCCACCACCTCTTGTCTACGATCATATAAGTACGGCATATGCTGCTCGGCACGTACTATAAAGTGAATTCATTCATTCATTCATTCATGCCTACTGTATCTTACCAACGACAGCCACAGTCAATGACAATGGTAGACCTACCAAAACTTGCCATTATTATCTACTCATTTGGGGATGAATTGTCCACCCTTGCCGATGATGAAATTGGGGCCTTTTTCCATATGGAATATGTGGACCATCCTGATCGAGTAGGCGACTGCAATTGAGTTCCCTTGCTGTCTTCTCATAGTGTAGCAGTTATTCGTAGCAAGATTTGTGATGGAGTCATCTTGGGATGAGGATCGCAAATTGGATGCACACAAACTCCGCACCATCCTTCCTGATGGCAGGTCATTCGACAAGGCCATCATATTCTACACGATGCATACAGAGGCCAACAGTGGGACCCTCATAGCACAGAGATGGGTTGATGGTGTGGAGTATGGCTATGATTTTGAGCAAGTGAGTGCTTTTCCCCATGTGCGCCAGCCAAGAGTGTTGCTGAACTTACCCAGATGGCCGAACCGCTGGAAGGAAGTGCGCGATGGTTAAGACACCTCCGCCAGAATACTGGGTTGGTTTTCCTCACATGTGGGCAGGCCTTCAGCATAAATGGCAGTTTTGACATTCTCAAAAATGTCTTCCATCATTGAGGCACGTTGTTTCATCTAGGCACTGCTGGGGGTCTAATGTACTCATAGGTTTAGCTGGGTAATTGGATTCACTGCGGATCGAGTGTCTCGAGAAGTGGTCATATCTCAGACCCTCAATTTCACCTACTTCACTACGATTTTAAACCAGACCCCTCGACAAGCTCGTCTCGAAGCCTTTGGGGGACAGCCGTCCATTCTCCCTGGGAATCAGGTTGTGCTTATGGAGCCACATGAGACCACGGTTCTAATCAGGGTACCCCGGTATGGAGGGCTCTGGAAAGAAGCCCCTCATTGCCCAAATGAGAGGTGCCCATCCGGCATCACTGACGAGCCCAGCCAAGATGCAAATGTGTCCGAGCTGCTTCGACCTTGCCTGGAGACAAATATTATAGTTGACAGGCTTGGCATTCGCAGTGTACGGTTTCACTGTGCATCGTGCACCCAGGTATGGTTTGCAGCACAGGAGCCATGGTGGTTACTTGAAATGGACATGCATGGGTGGCAGCATCAGCATTGGGTGGCTCCATACCCATTTGGGCCCTGGGAATTGATTCCGAAGGGACAGGACTAAGTCTTTGAGTGCAACAGCTGGGAAGGGAGTTGTGCAGACTCGTACCCAGTCGTTTTCGCTCCGTGGACGCGTGCGTACTGCAATGTGGAACGCACTGCAATGTGGAAATGTAACTAAGTAGCTTTTGTATTCAACGTAAAGTCACGTTCTGCTTTCAATACAAGCTACAGGGATAAACTCAAGTTCGATCACCTATTCCGAAAATTTGTGCGCGACACTTTGCTCTAACGACTGGTACACATTGGCAGTGGCAGTACATTTTAGGCATTTGCCAAATTTGATGCGATCCTCTCAGAAAATAATTCTGGGACACATGAGGACCCCATGCAAAATTCGAGTTAGGACATAATATTTAGCCTAGTTACTTTGCTATGAAGTTGAAGCCCAAATATACGCTGGGACTAACTTTTTATATATTACTTCGTTCTAAAGTAAAGTTGTTGCGTGTTGTGGCCCAGATGGCAAAGCGTGACTTTTATGCTACGAATGCACGATGAAACACAGCTTGGGGGTCACGCCGTACGAACTGGGCGCACAATGTCCATTCGTTCTCCCCTAGCCAGAACTCGGCATCCATGTCATAGTCAGAATAATCGTGGTGAAGGAACGAGGGGACTGCTGGGATCTCAGGGTAATCCCATGCCACGTTACATGATACTATAATCGACCCTCCAAACGAATCGCCTTATTCATGAGTGCTGCGCAAGAGCATTGCTCATCCGATAGTAAGGAGAGACAAGTGGAAGAAGCATGCGATGGTCACCGTATTGTGTTTTTGCAATGGCAGGGATCGTTCGTTCACTGCGGTCCCAGGTAACGCGGAGGCTGTAATTAGGGTCTTCCATAAACCTGAGTTAGCCCTTGCTAGCCATGGTATTGACAGAATGTTGACACCATGTTAACTGTCTTTGAACAACTTTTATGTACCAGCACTAATAGGTCATGTGCAAGTCAGCCATTGCAGTCTTTCAGCGCTTCCATTGGGGGCCTCCACGGAACAAAAGTCTGCTCAGCAGATGCAATCAAGCTCCCTGAGCTGGTGGCTGCATGGCCAAGTACAACCCCCCTGGTGTAGATAGACTGTTACAGCGGTTTTGTGAGAAGGAGCAGTCAAAAAGTGAAAGGGGCATGAACCCTTTCGTAAAAAATAACTGCAGGTCAGCGCGTGTGAAACACGCACTCTAGTAATAGAGGACCCCCCTACAGAGTAGCGATCGGTTCCAGCCAGGAGATAGTGGAGACACGTGGTTACACTGCAACCCGAACGGCCCTTCGAGCATCGTCCTATACTCAGACAACGCCAGTGCGGTGAAACGCATCTTCCAGGGGAAACCCAGGAAGGCACAAGAACACTCGTGGGCCTTCAGGAACACGATAGGAAGGCTGCTCGAGGAAAAGGAAGACCTGAAAGTTGCAGTCAGCTGGTGTCGGGCCACTGCAGTATTGCAGGAAATGACCGAGCAGACGAGCTAGCAAAGGAAGGTGCCCACCTTAGAACAGACAGGCCAGGTTACCACTCACTCACATACGGAGAGAGCCTACACAGAGCGGAGATGGAAGAAGCTTGGAAGGCACGATGGTCAACCGCACCCAACCCCCCAAGCTCCGGATTCCACCTGGCGAACCATATCGCCCCGACACTCAGACCCACCCTGAGATTTAAGTCACTAGACTGAAAACCTTCAGCAGACTAATCCAGTTTCGCACCGGACATGCGCACACTGGGGAATACTACCAGCGCTTCGGCATCCATACGGAAAGCCAAGAATGCCAGTGCGGCGCAGCGGTCCAGATGCGAACTCACCTCCTACAAAACTGCCTGCAACTCAGGAAGTTCCGTCACCTGCTAGGCAGCGGACGGCAAACCAGACCATGGTGCTGATGGGGAGACCGAAAGGAATCCTCAGGCTGGCAAAGTACCTAAAGAAATCGCACGCCATCGATAAGAGATCCAGACTTACCCCCGATCACACCTCGGTTCCCACCGACCGAACCTTTCAAGAAAACCACCCATCTTGACAGCACTGAGCCCGGGAGCAACCCCATCCACAGATGAACCAAAGCAACCCGAAACCAGACCCCAGAGGACACCGTCACCCCAACCCTACTAACCCACGCTGTGAAAGTCCCCTCATGTACTGTTGTAATGGACATAGTGGGATATGCCGCTCTGTCACATGCTAACGCGACCGCGGTTACACTCGATTGTCGTCTAGCATTGAGGCACAAGGTCATGGACCGTATCACAGGATCCCAATGACAGCATCGATATACTGTCATTCATGCGTCGAGGAGCGACCTCGATACATGGATTTACCCTTATTTGTGTCGACTTGCTAAGCGCTCTACCATCACCTCGTCCCACGCCGCTGAACCCAGTCCTCCCAACATCATGCTCCTTTTACCCAACCGCATCTTTCACTGTGCTCACTGTTCCACCAATTTCATGGGGGTTTTTCCCATCCAGCCGAATGGTCTCCACCGTTGGACATGATCGTTCGAATGCCCTGATCTGTTGCTCGAATGTCATTGAAACTGCTGCATCTCCAACTGAGAGCCGCTGGCATGGTCCACAACCTTGTGCCTCAGTGATGCCAGATGACAGTGGTGGGTCTGAGGACGGTCGTCCATCGATGCTCCCCGCGGATTGTGTTCTTTCCGATGGAATCCTTTGAGGGACGTTGTTGGCAGTTTCATTCTGCTCGCGTGACTCAGCTCTGTGTCCTAAAGTCTAAGTGGAGCATCCTAGTGGACACGACTGTTCGAATACCCCATTCGTTGCTCGACTGTCACTGAAACTGCTGCATCTCCAACTGAGAGCCGCTGGCACGGTCCATGACCTTGTGCCTCAGTGATGCTAGACGACGGTGGTGGGTCTGAGGATGCTCGTCCATCGATGCTCTGTGGATTGTATTCTCACACGGAATCCTTTGAAGTGCTTTTTATTCCACTCTCGTGACTCAGCTCTGCTGAGTAGTCTCTAGTAGGGATACAGAGAGCATTCTAGTGGACACTGCCGTTCGAATGCCCCATTATCTGTTGCTCGACTGTCACTGAAACTGCTGCATCTCCAACTGAGAGCCGCTGGCACGGTCCATGACCTTGTGCCTCAGTGATGCTAGATGACAGTGGTGGGTCTGAGGACGGTCGATGCTCGCTGCGGATTGTATTCTTTCCAATGGACTCCTTCGAGGGGTGTTGTTGGCAGTTCACGCCCCAGTGACTCAGCTCTGCTGAGTACACGTCCTGAAGATGTCAAGTGGAACAT